CCCTGAGTGGCACAGTGACAGCAGTACAGTGTGTTTCTTAAGGCAGTAATGTTTCATGGCAGTCAAACCATTCAACATGGCCTGAAGCACAGACCTGGAGCCGCAGGAGGATCTGAATGTGCTGGTTTAGTCAATAAAGTGTCAGATGAATATCAAAGAAAAGAGGAATTAAACCTTGCACACACTGGAAAAAAAACCAAAAAGCGTAATTATTCACAATGATCAGTTGGAATGAATAGCTCTGTAGGAGAGACTGTTGGAAGACAAAGAACACTGCTGGGCTGGTACTTCTCAGCATTGCTGCTTCTCTCCTTGAGCATGTGTTTGAGGAGCAGGGTGTTGGGCCTGGGGGGTATTTGGTCTGTCACTTCACAGCCACTCGATTATTGAAACTGCTTTTGGCAGGAAACGATGCAAAAGGACTGCTGGATGTTTTTCAGCAATTTCTGGGAACGAACCTTTTTTTAATGCTGCCCGTAGCTGGACCTGCCATGGGCACATTTGTATGGCAATCAAGTGATGCTTTGTAAGGGCACAAGCAGTGTAACTGGGGTTAACAGAAGATGGAGCTGGGTGGGCTGGAGCTCCCACAGCAGCAGCTCCTGTCTCAATGATTTGCTCTTTGTCCCACAGAAGCTGCAGATACCGACCTCTATCCTGGAGCCTGCCTCAAAGATGGATAAATGGGTGAGCGAACAGCCTCAGAACCCAGGGGAAGAAGAAATGACTGAGAAATATATGTTCAGAACTTTTGTTTGTAAGACTATCACAGGATAGAATGGTAGCATAAGGCAAGCACTGCATTTGAGCTTAGACATCGTGAGCAAAGACTGAGTGCTCTTGAACAACAGAAGGGTTAAGAGCAGGAAAATGCTTATTAGTTTCTGTACATCTGATCTCTGTATGGCAAAGTGTAGATGCATGTCCAGGCCTCGGTGTTGCACATCACGGGCTGATCTAGGTGTTGTTATCTCTTATTTACTGGGGCTGACAAGAGAAGCTGCCACAGCTCTCATGACCAACTGTCACATTGTTGTCACAATAATCGTGAGGGCAGCCAGCGTGTAATTGGCCAACCTGCTCCCTACAGCTATCAGACAGTACAGAAATGGGTGAGGAGTGCTCATATGTTCTGGTTCACCAGCACAGAGCAGGGGAATCTGCAATGGGACAGAAATTCCAGACAGACACAGCTTTTTGCCCGGAGGCCATGTGCTTAAGCCCTCAATCCTCACCTTTGACTCAGGGAAATATTTCTTCATCTCCCATCTCCTCCATAGGCATTTCCACACGTGATCCCAGTCCTTCTCCAGTCTGAATCCAATGCTGCAACGTGTTATACAGGCTCTAGTTCCCCACAAGAGATTTTTGTTTTAATTCTGCTATGATTCTTTTCCTCCATATGAACCCCTGGCCATAACACTCACTTGGGCATTTGCTTCGTGAACTGGTCTCCCTGGGAGAATTTGTAATCTGTTGCAGCCTCTGACCTGAACACTGGCCTTGCCCACCCTCCAGTGTCTTCTGCTCACTCCTTTCTTACACTGTTCTGTTGCAGAAGATCAATGATGGGATTCCTCTCCCTCCTGCCCAGGTCCCTCCCAGCCGGCTCCACGTGAAGCAGACACCAGGTAGTCTTGTGGGCCAAGGACCTCTGTGGGTGTTTTGTGAAGCTGCTGTGCCCAAAGGGGCTTTAGGGTGCATGGGGAGGTTGCTGCCCTCTGAAGCAGTGGCTGCCTGTGTGCTGGCGGGTTGCAGAAGTGCTGTGTGTGGCCTCTGCTGACTGCAGGTGCTGTTTTTTGTGTTCTCATTCTGCAGAATCTCCTGGGGAAGAAACTGTTTCTGCAAATGATTCCGGATCCCAAGTGGATTTTGAAGTAAGGTGTTTAACAAACTGAAGCTGCCACTCACTGCCCTAGGAAATGAAGGATATAAAAAGCGCAGGGGGTCAGATTATGGCCAGGTGCTTCAGAGTTCCTGAGCTGCCCCAAAATCACTGGGAAAAAAACCTCTTCCTTTGCCCATTTTTCATTTCCACAGAGAGCCCGTGGGGCCTTTCCTCCATCGCTCCTGATTTCATGTCCCTACAGCTTTGTGAGGCAGCCCTGAAGTTGAGGTTTCCCAGGTCGGAACTCTTTTGCCATCCTCCCGGAGCCAAAAGCCCCAGGCACAACAGTGCCCAGTTTGCAGCCATTTTGCCTTTGAACTACCTGCTATCCCTGGTCCCCTCCTCCCGCGTAACATTTTCTGTCCTTGTCAGTCTGCTTATGATGGTAATTCAAACATCCATAGCAGCTCTCTTCTGGGATAATGCCATCTAATGCAGCTCCATGTCGTTGCCAGCCGGTGTGTGGTGGAGCTGGAACTGATTTTGTGTCCACTTGGGGTCAGCACCTCTCTAGCAGTGCCAGGGCAGATCAGCTCTTATCCCCTTTGTCTTTGCTGCCCGCGTTTGCAGGGATTTGGGGGTCTTGTTTTGGAGCTGTACTTCTGACAGAAGGCAGCAGGACCTGGCTGCACCTCTCCAGATATGTGGAGGACTTGGGGCTCGGCTCATACAGGTTTACATTCAGAGGTTGTTTTTATCTGAGCCAGAAACAGGCTTCCTGGGTCATGGCAGGAGCATTTGGTCCTAGGCTTTGACCCTACATTTTCCCTCTCTAAAACTCAAATCTTCATTTTGATCTTTCACGGTCTCTGCGGCAGCACCGAAGCCAGATCCTGCTTCTGCCAGCTCTGGTGATAAGAGCTCCCTGAATAACCAGGCTGTGTTGCCACATCTCTCACAGGTCCCACTGACCCACAGAGACACTTCCTCCAGCTCGGACAGACCAGCTGTGCTGCGGGTGCTTTGCGAGTGCACGGTGGTGCTGAGGGCAGGCGAGGTGCCCTCCGTGCCGGCGCTGCGGGCGCTGCTCCGGCAGCGTTTTGGCCAGCAGGCAGAGTGTGGGAGGCTGAGGTATGGCGTCCTCCAGCACTCACTGTGCACCCTGTCCTTGCAGTGTTTGGCAGCAGTGATTTCCCTGAGGACGCGGGCGTCTGACTGCGTCTGGTCTCTGGTCGATGGGGAACAGCTGTGATCCACAGGCTCTGGAGACCTGGAGGATCTTTCCAAGGAAACTGTGTCATTGTCAAGAAAAGAGGGAACAGAAGGAAAAACTCTGTGCAAATGCAACTGCTGTGTATTGAATTTTCTTATGCATGGCCTTAAAGACACACTGGAATCAATGCAGAGCAATCTGGGAGTCCAGTGTTAGCTAGTCCTGGGGCGAGTATCCCTGACCGTGACATCCCTGGGGACTCACAGTTGGTGCAGACATAAGAGATTCAGACCTACCCCTCAAGTGCCTGAGGAGGCAAGACCCTCCCCAACAAATGTGTGCCCATTTGTGCCCATTGAGCATGCAAGGTGGCCCCTTGTCATTGCACAAGGTGACAAACTTGGAGCTGGTTTACAAAGAGAGTTTTGCAGACTGAAGGTTGTAGAAGGCTAGATTTGCCTAAATGTCTTTAGATCATATGATTTGAGTCGTGTTAATGAACCCTTACAGCTACAAGCATTTGGATGGCAAAGAACTAGGTGCAGTTTCAGGAGAGGAAGATCTAGGGAAGATGTGGCAGCAGCTGACAGATGGCAGGATCACACTCTGCTGCCAGGTACGTGGGCTGTGACAAGCATCTCTGCTATGCTGGGCTGTAATCTTGTCTCTGCTTTTCCTTGCAACCTTCATGCTGATTTTCTGCTGTAGGACTTGGACTCCCACTCAGGCAGACCCATCCTCTACCGGATGCTGGCTCAGCACTCGTACCCTGCACAGGGACCAGGAGACCTGGAGTTCAACAAGGGGGATGTGCTGGATATTCTCTCTGAAGGTAGCTCTCCAGTCCTATCTACAGGCTCTCTGAAAGAGTCTGATGTAAATGTGACAGAGGAGTGGATGACTTTTCCAGTGCTGTTTCAAGTTTGTGACAGCAGGAGGTGCAGACCAGAGTTTAACTTTGAGCCATGAAAGCTCTCTAACCTTGCTCCCGTGAGCCAGAGCTTATCTTGATTCTTTTTGTTTTCTCAGTGAACAAGGACTGGCTTGAAGGGCACTGCAACGGCAAGACTGGCATCTTCCCTAAATGCTTTGCAACCCAGACCAGTTGTGCCTTCCCATAGGGAACAGGAGCCTTCTGCCTGACCACATGAGGAGCCCGCTGCCATCGGTCCCATCTGCCAGGGGTAGGAGACACCAGAACCAGCTCATCTGGACACAGCTGGCCCAGACAGGAGCTCTGCTCAACCTGAACAGATGTCCTGCACTGACAGATCCCATGAGGTCTGTTCCAGCACTCACTTGGCAGCATTTCCTGCAGCCTGTTCCCAGACCTGACACTTTTACCTCTGTGGTTCCACTGCCAAAGATGTTCCTGTATAGGGCAGAGAGAAAGGAGGGGACTGTGTTTGGCTACAGGAAATGTCCACGTGCCATGTGTCACACTGCAGGGTGGGAAAAGGTTCCTTTTGGGCAGGGGAGTTTACTCCCTCTCCATGATGGTTAGGACCATCATATATCATCTTCACACAGTGAATACTCTGTGGATCTGAAAGAGCCAAAGAGCTCTGATTCTTTCTCAGCCCAGATGCCTTTGGTTGTTTTCTCAAGCCCCTAAGCAGTCCTGCCTGGATTTTCCTGCTTCTTGCTGTGCGGACAGGGGTCCTGCAGCAAAGAGAGGCAGCTGTGGAGACACCCTTGCTCACACCAGCCTGGGGCTCTGGCAGAGGCTTGGAAGGTCTGTGCAGAAGGCAGGCTGGGCACTGCAGTGCTGACCTGGTGGCTGGAGCTGGAAGGACTGAGAGGACTGTCTGATTCCTGCAGCTGAGCTGTGCTGGGCTCTGCTGATATAGATAAAACACTCAAGTGCCTGGAGCTGGAGACTGCTATGGATTTAGTGTCTGACAAAGCTGGAGTATATAACTTGAACGTGAAATAAACACTGAGCAGAGTTGGCAGCTCTTAAATCAAGTTCCAATTGTATTTTTTTTGCTGAGATATGATTGTAAATAACTTACAGACAGCTGACAGTCTGTCCTTGGAAAGATGTTCTACCACATACTACAGAAATCTTGCACATCTTATACAAGACAGGATACAGAAAATGCCAGTCCTCTCCCAGAGCCTAGGTGACCACCACTGCTCTCCAGCACCCATTGCCTTCCACAGCTGCAGCTGGGAGAGCCAACCCAGCAGGTGTGGAAGTGCCGAGGGATGGAAGCTCTGCTAGACTTGTTAGCGACCTTTGTATTTGAAAAACAAAAAGGGCTTTATTTCTAGCTTGAATTCATATGGCCGTCACATCTCAGTTTGGCCTTTGTCAGCCAGATTGAAGAGGTTTCTGGCATCATTTCCTCGTTGAGGTTTGTAGGGAGCTCAAGATGCCTTTGATGTCTTTACAGATGTGGTTCAAGAAGACTTCATGAGCAGTGGAGGTGGGGCTTAATGCCTTCTTCCCTCTCTTGCTTCCACCTTTTCTTGCACCACCCTCCCTGCCTGGTTTAGAAGGCAGGGTGCCCGTAGGCTTCTTGGAGCTACTTGGAGCTACTTGGATTTCCAGAAACACTGGAGGAGAATTGCCACCAGGCCTGTAGCTATAGCCAGCACAATGAAGGAGATGGCTCCTGCCCACAGACTGGGCTGCTGCCCCTTGATGTGTTCCAGAGCCTCCGTGGGGATCATGTTGGTGAGATTCAGCATGAAGCCCAGCGTCCAGCCAATATCTGTGTTTCCTGCCTGAGGTGACAGAACACAGGAGATCATCAGAAAGTGCCTCCCTGGGCAGTGGTGGCTTTAGTGTGAGGGACGGTGGCAGACCTGGTCCCACCAGTGCCAGTTACACAGCAGCTTTGCTCTCCCCTTTCCCAAGGGCTTAAAGGGCAGCTGCTGTTGTGCAGATGTGCCTCTGTGACCTGTGTTTTCCTCCCCTCAAAATCCTTCAAATTTGATTTCATTCTGGTTCATGTGGCTCATGGGGCCACAATCGCTTCCCTGCTGTTTATGTGAATTCTGCACAGCATTAGTGATCAAAGTGGCTGAATCTTACTCTGCACTTCTCTCACCCCCTTAAAATTAGCTTATGTTTCCACCAGAGTACATAAGAGCGGGGGTCAGTGGTTTGAGGGCAGGCAGGACTGAAGCTGTGCTGGGATCCCCAGACACGAGGTAAGGAGACATTTCTGGTGCAGGAGATTGCAGGGATGGTGCTCCGGAATCACAGAATTGTAGGGATTGTAGAGATCATCGAGTCCAGCCCCCCTGCAAAACACTGTGTCCCTGGGCCAGGGCAAGGACGTGGCCACAGCTGCCTGCCTGTTCCCTCTGCCCCACGAGGCTTTTTTTTACCTTCTGGCTGAAGTGGATGTTGCTCCACGTGCGCTCATCAAACTTATAGCCATCGACCAGCAGTGTCAAGATGTAAAGTCCCACCACGCAGTACGTGTGTAGGTGCTCCTTATTGTCTGGGAAAGTCTCCACCAGCTTCAGAGTCATCGAGGGACACAATATAATGAGGAATGAAACCTTCCCTGGCCCAGAGAACAGCAGAGCACGTGCTTTCTGGGCAGGGATTCGGGAGAGGACAGGCAGAGGACTCCCTGGTGCCCTTTACAAGGCTCTCACCTTGGACCAGTTCTTGTTACAGAAGTCCCAGACTGTGGCATTGACATGGCTTAGAGACTGCTGGCTGGTCAGGTTCAGGAAGGAGAAGGTGTAGTAGAACCCAGCAAAGGCCTGGAGAAGAAGGGGTGATGGTAAAAACTGCATCTCCCTCCTCACCCAAAGGAAAGCCTCTTCTCACAGCACCTCTGGGCTTGGGGTCAGCACTGCCATCCCTGCCTCAGACAAGTGGGGTATCCAATTAAGAGGGCTGGCTGAGCCTGTGGCAGAGCATCTCACTGCAACCTCTTGGATCAGATCTTAGAGTAAAGCCTGACCCAACAGACCCTCTGCTGGGGGGAAGATTTCCATGTGATCTCTGTGGTTCTGCATCCACCTGATAGTCTACCACACTTGGAGGCCATGGACAAGCCTTTGGTTTCTGTTTGCGCTCAGGAGCCTGGCCAGCTCAGGCTTGTTCCTCGTGGACAAAATCTTCCAATTTCCCTCAGGGGGAGCTGGGACATTGCAGAAGGCAGAATTCACCTTCCAGCTTAGGGGCAGAGGTTTGCAGATGGGGCCAGCTTTGAAGTCCCCTCTTTTGCTTCCCCTTCTCACAACCAACAGTAGGGAAGACTTCCACCCTCCATTCCCGCACCCACACCAGCACCAACAGCCGAGGCTCCTTACAAAGAACTGTCCCCTCACAGGTGGCTGATAGACCCCGTCGAACCCACACGTCCTGTTGGCCCCACAGGTGAAGTTGAAGAGCTTCAGGATGGCGGTGCGGCACGCCGCCGGGTTCCCCATCCCTGTTACTGTGAGGATCTGTGCAGGGCTGAGCGTGCTTGGAATGGGGACGCAGGGACTGTCGTAGAGCTCTGCTACGGTGATGTTCTCCTGGTATCCCTTGGGGTAGCAGGGGTGTGATATCTGCTGGGCGTACCGGCTGTCCTGTTGAGAGAGAAGCAGCCATTACCTCTTGTGCTTGATGTGGGATGCCGGTGATAACTTACCCCGCAGCTCAGCCTGTGCTTACACCCCCCCTGAAAGCAGGATCTAGATCCCAGGAGGACTTGAGCAGAAGCAGAATCCAACCTTTGGATGCCTTTAACATGCCGATGCATTCTGTTAGTCCTGCCACTGCTGCTGAGCAGGACTGCGGTGGTGGTGCCACTGTGAAGCCTGTAAGGTGCCTGTAAGGCTGGAATCTCGCTCCCATGGCCACTGCCTCTCTGCTGTGTGGAGAAGTTGTCGTTTTTGGTACCTGGTTTGTCCCCACCACATCTTGCAGGTTCTAACCCAGAAAGGACTGAAGGTGCGTTCCATCTGCACGCTCCTCAACTATCTCCATCTCCCACGGCATTGGGCATCTCACCTCCCCATCTAAGCTGAGATGGGAAAATTTCTGGCTGTTGGTGGAGCAGTGTGCAGGAGAGAGTGTCTGGAATCCTCACTTTGAGAAAAAGTCAAAGGGGCAGGTGAATATAACTCCCATTAACAGCTATAATCTCTGCACTGAGCTGTGTGCAGTCTCAGCTCCCCACCCAATCTGCTCTCTTATGGAGGGGCTCACAGTTTGGACATTTGATCATCCTGGCCAGGAGGTGCCAGACCATGTCTTTGGCTGACTGCACTTCTAACTGAATGCTGCACCTGCTGTCCAAGGAAGGACCTGGTTGGCTTTTAAATCACTTCACATACAATGAAGCTGATCCCTGGAAACCATCCAGGCAAGGAAACACTTTATGTGGGTATCTGTGAGAACAGGGAAGAATATAAAGCTGCGTCTAGACTTGGGAAATGATGGAAAATGCTGTTATATGACAAAATCTGGGGAGGTGAGAGCCCTGCACGGGACCACCACTACTTCCACTCAAATGATAAATTTTTTTAGTCTAGTACATAAAATAAAAGCCTTTCTCGGGTTCTTGAATCTGTGAAAGTTCCCTACCACTTTTTCTACATATGCGTACAAATTTTCTGGAAGGCATTTTTCATGGCGATGGGAAATGGTTGAGCAGCTTCTGCTGCCCCGTGGCTGCGATACCTGATGGAGAGCTGCCATCAGCCTCTTCAAGGCCTGCATCTGCCCATAGCACAGGTAGCTGTGGGTGTAGAGTGAGTAGTTGGTGCCGTACAGCCTGAAGAGGACAGACGTGTTTTTGTCTTCAACGGTGACTCCAGGCTGGAAGGTTATTTGTGTTGAGGCTCCTCCAAGATCCAGAGCTCCCAGGACCTCAGTGTTTTGTGGATGTTCCCATTTTCCTGTGAAGGAAAACTGGCCCCATAAGGCAGTCAGTGTTAGTCTGTCCCTTCCCTAAAGGTTCTGTGATCTCAAAAGCCTCTGGGAGACCTTCCACATCCTATGTCCCTGTTTAACCCCTTGCTGCCCACATCCTCCTCAACCCACATAGATCTCTGTATAATGCTAAGGTTTGAGCCCTTGGCTGCTGCACATCAGCTTGGATCCACGGAATTTGAGGAGGAAAAGTGTAATGTTCTGGACTCTGATACTGCTGTGACACCAAAATCAACCCATATATCAATGGAAGGCACAGGACCAGGATGAGCTGGACACAAAGATCCTCCTGCTCTCGACTCTCCTAATCACACCTGTAGAGTAAAAGGTGCAGTTCACAACAACATGCTACATTTGTTTGGATGACCATCACTCTAAAAAGACATTTCACTCCCCTGTGGGAATAAAGAAACCTGGTCTTTACGCAGACAGGAAGACACACACACGATGCATCCCCCCAACCCCCCGAGCCCCCTCCTCTGGCCCGGACCTTGATAAGTGTGTCCAGCAGGTAGTTGACAGTGATCCAGCCAAAGGAGCCCTCCTCGTTCCCGGTGAGGATCTGAGCTCCACGGAAGTCCACAGGGTACTCACGAATGGCCTTGGTGACCTCAGCGAAGACCTGCTCAGCCTTTGTGCTGTTCTGCTCCCTGCAGAAGCAGACAAATCCCATGTGGTGGAAGATGCAATTGCAGGGGAGCTTTCAGAGTAGGCTAACAGTAAAAGGCTGTGACCTGCAAAGGAGTGGGACTATACAGAGACAGCATATACCCCATTCATCCATTGCTTTTAATCATATAAAGAGATTATAAAAAAAGATGGAAAAAGATGTTTTACTAGAACCTGTAATGACAGGATAAGGGACAATGGTTTTAAACTGAAAGAGGAGAGATTTAGATTGGATAAAAGGAAATTTTTCACAATTAGGGTGGGGAGGCACTGTCAGGATGCCCAGAACTGTGGATGCCCCATCCCTGGAAGTGTTCATGATCAGGCTGGATGAGTCCCTGGGCAGCCTGATCCAGTGAGAGGTATCTGTGCCTATGGCAGGGGGTTGCAAATGGATAGGCTTTAAGGTTTCCTTCCAACCCAAGACATTCTATGAATTCAAGTCTAGCAAAGGAGGTTGTTCCTCCTCCAGGGTACTGCCAGGCAGGCACCAGTGTAGGCTGTGGGGTATCCCATGGAGCAGTGAGCTGGCTATGTTGGCCAACCCCCAGCGGGCTGCAGAAATAGATGCTCAGCCATCTGATGATGATCTGATGATCTGCCCCCAATCCCAACCCCACACCCCTTCTAAGATGCTGAAATGTGGGGGGGCAGCAGTGCCCGTACCTCAGCAGCCTCATCCCCGCTGTGGCCCCCAGGTAGGTGGGTGTCTGCCACTGCTGCTCTGCAGGGATGACTGCCATGGCCTTGTCCAGGCAGGGCTTCAGACTGGCACCAGCTCCAGTGGGATCATCTGCATAGCTGGAGATGCCAGATCCTGTAACAGAGCACCTTGTGATGCCCAGGAGGAGCAGAACAGGATAACAGGAGACACGTCCACCCTGAAAGCCAGGAAGACCCCACAGGTTTTCCCCATGTACCAAGACCAATCATGCCCTTCCAAGGGCATCCCCAGAAGGGCACTGCTCAGAGCTGGCTTGCCTGGAGGTGGCACATGCATGCTGCAGGAGCAGACAGAGACTCCTGCTCTCCAAGGAGTGGGGAGCTGCTGTGATGCTGTGTGTGGTTAATCCCAGTTTCCCAGCAGTCAGTTGACAAATAGCATGGTTAGCACAGTTCCTTACTTCCCTGGCAAAGAGGGATTCTCTCATTTGTCCTTTGGAGAGTACTTGTGGAGCTGATACAAGCACAGAGGTGCTCTCCATGCAGCTCAGCACAAACACGCTCTTATTTTTATAGGCTGGTGCTAGATCTGAGCTCCCAGCGTGGTCCTGCACTGGGTGGAGGCAGCCAATATCACTATTTACCTTTCCTCCAAGCTCTGCACTCCAGGTCCTCCACCAGCCCCAGTGCCCTTTCATTTACCCTTCGCCCTTCACCAGACCTTTGCATTGGAGCACAGTTAACCAGTAACTGACACACTGTGGCTGCAAGAGCCTTGATTTGCCATCAGGGCAGGCTCTACAATCTCCCACCCCTTGCCCAGGCACTCTGCCCTAGGTCAGTGGCCTTTGTCAGTCCCTTTTAACCGACTGCCCAGAACAGCCTCCAGCCTGGTGTCCCTAGGCTGAGCAGAGGGCAGGGAGAGGGACAGACAGGTCCCAGCACTCTCACCATTCACAGTGCAGGACTCCACCTGGGAGACGATGCCCGTGCCGTTCTCCTTGTCTGCAGGCCACTGGTAGACGTAGAGAGCCGTGTGCGTGGAGCCGGCGTCGAACACCAGGCCGTACTGCAGAGAGAGGCCGACGGGATGCAGGGTTTCAGGAGGTGCAAAGCAGATTTAGCTGGCTGCAGAGCTCCAGGTGAGCAGGCAAAGCTGCCAGTGGGCAGGGAGTGGCCCCGTGACCAAGCCAAGAGTGTCACCGGAGCAGGGAAAGCGTGACATCGCAGTCGCCAGCTGTACTGAGGCCAAGGCTCTTTGTGAGCTAGTGGGGAAGTTCCCTTGGTTCTCTGCAGTGAAAAGGCTGTATGTGCCGTAAGCAAGAAAACTGTGACAAACCCATTTGACGTGCCACCCTGCACGGCAGTTTGTCCCCATCTTGGTGAATAACAGCACAGCCTGCCTAAAGCTGGGGAAAATCTCAGAATAGAGGTTAGACAACACCTGAGTGAGAGAAGGTAGACGGGCTTCTGCCAAAGGCTTTACCTTAGTGCCAGGAGGCAGCAACACATCCTTCACATTTACAGCACTCAGTATGAGGGCAACGATGCTGAAGACACAGGTGGCTGCCAGGAGACCTGCAACGACCTTGGCTTTGTACTCCATTCCTCTTCCAACCTGCAAAAACACCCCAAGCCCAGCTTAGCGCTCCTGTATTTGCAAGGCCAGATTTGAAATGCAAATCTCGTGGATGAGGTGGGACCTGTCAAGATGGACCTTCTCCCATGTCTGAAAAAAGGGCTTTAAACCATTCTTGGAATCACAGTCACAGAATTCCAGTATGGCTGAGGTTGGAAGAGACCCTTGGGTCCACCTGGTCCAACCCCTGCTAAAGCAGGGACACCCAGAGCAGGGCCATGTCCTGGCAGGTTCCCACTGGGTTGATATCTTTGGAGTGCAGAGCTGCATCCCCCTGGCACCCACATTCTGCCATTATACCTTGCACTACCTCACACAATCCATCCCACAGACTTGTGACCAGCAGGTCATATAGAATCACAGAATCATGGGACAGTACAGGTTGAAAGGACCTCAAGAGACAATCAAGTCCAGCTTCTCACGGCAAGCCTAAATGAGACTATCTAACCAATCCTATCTTGAAAACCTCCAGTAATAGGGAATTAAAACATCTGTTGCCCAACAGTATCAGACTATCCTCAGTCTTTCTCCAGGCAGGGGAACAGCATCTCCATCCATGTGTCTCCTGCCTGGTCCAGCTCTGCTCACCTGGTCAGAGCTCAGCTGCCAGCATCATCATCCCTGAGGCATCAGCAATAAATTGCAATGGAGAAGTGAAACCCAAGGGCCTGGTTCTCTACAGCCCCACAGCACAGAGCAGCTGACACGTCCTCATGCTCAGCACCCCATGTCTGCTCCAGATGTGCTTTTCTACACAAAGTTCTCCCTTCTGTTCCTGCATCACCCTGCTCTGTACTACCATTGTGTGACTGCAGGCAGTAAGCCTGACCTCGTACAGCCCAGCCTGCACAGCACTGGGCTGCAGCTGAGCAGCAGATGCCCTGAAAGCCCTGGAAACAGCCTAAAGAAATGATTCTAACCCAGCCACTGCCATGGGGTGCACCGTGGGGAGCTCACTGGGCTGTGCAGTTCTCCCAGGAACGCATAGAAAATACCCTTACCTTGTAGCCAGTCCAGGTCAGCAATTTAATAGGAAAGGAAGACCTTTGGCAAAGTCACAAAAGACGGCGATTCCTGTTTCAGTCGATATCTCCAGTGATAAATGAGGGTGACCAGTGCCCTATAGGACATGCTATGTATAATGGATAACGTTCTTTTCTGTTCCACGTCATGGGACAAGGGACGTGGGATAGGAAACCTTTATCAGACCTTATCCTATGGCCAAGAGCCCTGCCCCGTACGGTAATGAAGGGCAGAAGATATCATATGCAAGGTGATGAACTCTATTGTGCCATCTCCAGACCTATTAGCCCTGCTGGTTTGCACAGATGTAACCATGCAGCTGAGAAGTGCTTCCCTTGCTCCTGGTTTAACAGCAAAGGAAAAGGTCCCAATAGCAGCACACATCTTGGAAAATTCTGCCCCAGGCAGTGTGCGACGGTGATAAATTGCACCATGTCAAACCACCTTCACCTGCCCTCGGTAAGGCCAAATTTCTATCTTATCTCAGCAGCAGGCAACAAGTGCAGGCAGCACTGAGTCTGCAGGAACAGGGGAGGAGAGTGGAGCATGGGGAAGGAGCAAGCAAGCAGAAAACAAAGAGGGAGGGGTGTGAGAAGCTGATGGGTCTGCCCAGAATTTCTGTGGCACTTCAGGCTGTTTTGTGCTACTGTGTCTGGCACAGCGCCCTTGTACAGCAGGTTTGGGGCACAAGCGGAAGGGATAGAAGGGTGGTGATGCCTTCAGAGCTGCAGTCAAGCCATGCTGCTGTATGGCTCCACAAGGAGCAATGCCCAGATGTTTCAGTGTGCAGAAAGCTTGCAGCTGTGCATGCTGCTTGAGCTGCACCTGCACCGGTTGGTATGTGACCAGACACAGCAAAGTGCTGACAGCTGCTGACAGCCCCTTGCAGAATCTCTTGAGAGGAAGGAGGGGAGCCTCAAAGTTCAGACTCATGGGCACTGCTGGCCATAAACTGTGTGCTGCTTGGGAAGATGTGTTGCTGTGCACATGTGGGATTTGAGGTCAAAAGGGCTCTTAATGTTACAAGGAAGGGGGGATATGCAAGCTAGGAGTCCCCTTGCCAGGCAGAGCAGCGCCCAACCTCCCACCCTGCCACCAACACGAGGTCCAGCAGTGCCCTCCACATCCCCTGCATGCACTGAATCCTGAAGGCACCTGAGCCACGAACCACAGCACCCTCTCACCTGCCTCCCACCTCACCCCTGCATCAATCTCCCCACAGCCAAGCCTCGCCGAGGTCGCCCATTGCCATCCCCTGTCCATGCTCACCTGTGCTGCTGCCAGTGGGGCCAGCTGCTGCTCACCTCGGTGTGAGCGTGTACCTGGAGTGCGGGCGCTGAGCCTGGGACAAAGGCTGCCCAGGAGTCCCCTGCATGGCCCTCCCCTTGGCCTCAAACCAGCAACCTCCCCTGCAAGCAGCAGGGCCAGGGCTGGAATAGAGCCCGTTTAACCACCTCGGTGCTGGTGGACAGACTGGGATCCTCGCCCTTGGGGGCTGTTTGGAGGTGCCTGGCAGCGCTCTCCTTGATGCTGACGGTATCCACGCCTCGAGGGAGCTGGTGAGTGTGTTGGCATCGGGACAAAGCCTGAGATCTGGGAGAGGAGCTGTAGTCCACAGATCTCCCAGTCCCACAGCTGCTGCAGGGCAAGGCATGGCCGAGCCTGTCACCTGCACCCCAGCTGCCATCCTCTGCTCTGCTATTCTGCTGCTGCAAGCAGGGCCAGGCTGGCAGAGCTGCCCAAGGCAGGAATAGGAGAGACCTGGCAGGTGGGGACCCGTCCTCACGGAAACACATCCCCAGTGCCAGGGAGCTGCCACCACAGCCAGGACCCCATCTGTCCCCAGGGGGCTCCATCCCACGGTTAGGGCTCCATCCCACGGTTGGGGTCCCTCCCAGCCACACGGCTGTCCCCACAGATTTGGGCTGGCTCCCACAGCCAGCGTCCCTCTCTCCTCTCGGTGAGGTCCCCGTCCGTCCCCACAGCCACAGTTCCGTTCCCGGACTGGAGGGTCCCTCTATCCCACGACGGGGGCTCTGCACCCACCCGCCCGGTCCCGCTGTCCCCACTGCCGATCCGCGGCTCGCAGCGCCGCTCCGTCCCGCATGTTCGTCCCCTCTCAGAGCCGCGCTGAGCGCCCGCCCCGGGCCGGGCTGGGCGGTACCCGGACGTGGTAGCCGGGCCGGCTTTCTTTTTCGCTTTGCCCCGCGGGTTCCGCCCGAGGCGCCGCGCCGTGCCGGCCGTGCGGAGCTCCGACATGCGGCCCGAGCGCCCGGTGCTCGCGCTGCCGGTGTTGGCCGGGCTGTCCATGCTGGCGGCCGCCGCCCTCCTCTTATTGCTGAGCGCGTCCCGGGACCGTCCCGTAGACGGGAAAAAAGTAGGTGTCCGGGGCCGGGGAAGACCGCCCGCCCTTCCCGGTGCGCGGCCGGGCAGCCCGCAGCCCGCGGTCCCGGTGCCGGGCAGACCTGCTCGGGCTCGGAAGGCGCTGCGGGACGGCCGGGCTCCGCGCCCGCAACCATCGGCCTCTCTCTGCAGTACGGCCTGGTGTTCGACGCCGGCTCCACGCACACGGCTCTCTACATCTACCAGTGGCCCGCAGACAAGGAGAACGGCACGGGCATCGTCTCCCAGGTGGAGTCCTGCATTGTGAATGGTGAGAGCGGAGCGCTGGGAAGCGTCCCTCCTCCCCACGTCGTTCCCCCCGGCTCCTGCAGCGCAGGATCTGAGCCCCTCAGCCTGGGCTGGGCCAAACGGAGGCGGCCCGGAAAAGCCCGATGGAGCTGGTGCAGAGGAGCGGCTGCGGTTTAAAGGTCCCTGTAATGGTGGGGGCTGTGCTGCCCAGAGGTCGGTCAGAAGCTCAGCCCGCAGTTAGCATCACGGCTCATGGACCCAGCCCTGTTGTGCAGCCCACTGCTGTGCATCGCCTTGCACCTTGGCTGTTAGATGTGCAATGCTTGTAACCTCTCCTCTGCAGCCGCTTCCTGGAACATCTCTTTACACTTCTTCCCACAGGGCTTGCTAGAAGCTTTGCAGAACTCACTAGATCTAAATGTGTCTCTACTGGCTATTTTTGCTTTCAGTTCCTATCTCCACTTTGAGTTAACAATTATCTTTTTCCATTTTTTGCATAGCCCCAAGCACAGCATTTTGGGTATTGCTTAAGAGGATGAGAAACAACCCTTGACGTGAGAGTGGGAGGAAGTGTCCCCACTCTTCTGTTCCTCCTGGGCTGGCTCCATCACAAGGTGCTCTGTTGCAGGATCTGGCATTTCCAGCTATGCAGATAACCCCGCTGAGGCTGGAGCCAGCCTGAAGCCCTGCCTGGACAAGGCCATGACGATCATCCCTGCAGAGCAGCAGCAGGAGACACCCACCTACCTTGGAGCCACAGCGGGGATGCGGCTGCTGAGGTACTGGCACTGCCTGCATCCCTGCACCCCCACGGCCCTGAGCCCTCAGAGACTGCTCTCCAATCACAGCTGCAGTGGGTCTGGGATGCTGGTGAGATTACATTGTGAGGTGAAGTGGCACTTTGCCATCCTGGCTGGTGTCTCTGATGCCTGATGTCGAGCCTTCTGGGATGGGGAACCACTGACTTTGTGGTTCCATATCACATCAGCTGCCAGCACCGTGCTCCCTCCACCAGCATCTCCCTCCTTCTCTTGGCAGGGAGCAGAACATCACAAAAGCTAAGCAGGTCTTTGAGGAGGTCGCCAAGGCCATTCGTGAGTATCCTGTGGACTTCCGTGGAGCTCAGATCCTCTCTGGGAATGAAGAGGGTGCCTTTGGCTGGATCACTGTCAACTACCTGCTGGAGACACTCATCAAGGTGCGGGGTGGTGAGAGGGCAGACGAGCAGGAGGATCTCGCTGCACTGGGAGATCTTGCTGCATTAGAGCCTCTGCAGGCTACTGGGCATTGAGGCTGGGACCCCTTGCGACTCAGTCACTGCTTCATGGTGAAACAGGGAAACCTGGAGGCCTATCAGCCCCTACAGTGTCTGGAGGAGTTCCAGAGGCTGTGGACTGTGGGTCCCTCCTCCCTGCTGCACCACAGTTCAGTCAGGGAAGCCAGTATCCCTGTGCTCACTCTGAATCAGGTCCATGCACCCTGTGAGTAATTCTCTGTGTGGGGCAGTACTCCTTCACAGGCAAATGGACCCACCCACCAGTGGAGAATGTTGTCGGAGCTCTGGACCTTGGTGGGGCTTCAACCCAGATCACGTTTCTCCCTGGGACCACAACAGATGACAAGAACACAAGTGCCCTCCTCAGGCTGTATGGGACCAACTATTCAGTTTACACCCACAGCTACCTCTGCTACGGACAAAAGGAAGTCCTGAAGAGGCTCTTGGCATCTTTACACCAGGTAATTGCCTCCAGCCTTGTGCTCCTCTGCTGCAGCCAAAGCCGTGTTCTCACTGAGCTGGCCAGGCAACACACACTGGGTATCAACCATGGGGCTTGGTGCTGTTGTGCAAGCACCTCTGAGGGTGGATACCTCAACAGGGACCCACACAGGCATGTCCCAGTACTAGGGCAGAGACATCCCTGTCCCAGCAGAGGGTCTGTGTCAGCACAGACTCACTCACAGAGGCTGGAAGGACCTGAGTTTCCTGGAGGAGAGAACATCCTGGGTGCTGGGAAGCTGGGAATAATGTAGGTTTAAGGGGAGGATAGGCTGAATAGGCTGGTCTTCAGAGGCAGGTGCTGGGGAGTGGAGGAAGGTTCATTGCTGCTTGGGGGAGCCTTAATATCTGTAACACGGCTGTGGGTTGAGGGCTCAGTGCCTCGTGGTGGTTGGAGCAAGAATAGGCAAAAGGTGATGTCCATTGCATGTTAGCAGATGACTAAGCATGATAAGCAGATAACTAAGATGATCAGGGGGCTGGAGCACCTCCGCTATGAGGACAGGCTGAGGGAGTTGGGCTTGTTCAGCCTGGAGAAGAGAAGCTGCGGGGTGACCTCATTGCAGCCTATCAATACCTGAAGGGAACCTACAGCCAGGAGGGGAGTAAACTCTTCAAAAGGGCTTACAACAGCAGGACTAGGGGAAATGGATCCAAGTTGAAGGAGGGAAGATTTAGGTTGGATGTTAGGGGGAAGTTCTTCACAAGGAGAGTGGTTAGGCCCTGGAACGGGCTGCCCAGGGAGGTTGTGGATGCCCCATCCTTGGACGTGTTCAAGGCCAGGTTGGACGGGGTCCTGGGCAACCTGATCTAAATGTGTACGTTTGGTGGCCCTGCTAGGCAGGGGGGTTGGAACTACATGATCCTTGAGGTCCCTTCCAACCCGGGTGCTTCTGTGATTCTGTGTGATTCTGTGATTAGCAGAAAGAAATCAGCCTCCACTTCATTTTTGATAAAGTGGTTTCTCAGTTTTGGCTGCGCCCCTGGCTCTGATGACACTATGATGAAAGAGTGGGGACAAAATGTATGCATGCCCACCACAGAGGACTAACGCCCAGTGCCCTGGGCACACAGATATTGCTGTAGCTGATTGCTTACTGCAGCATGGCACGGCCTGGCTGTCCCTACAACGCTGTGCCTGCACCCCATAGCGTGGTGTTGTGCCGGTGCAGATGTCACCCCATGAGCAGTGGAGCCAGGGTGACGGCAGGGTGTCTGCATCCTGTGCCTGGTTATTTGAACAGGCAGTGTCTGTGGGCTGCTTCTCACCTTTCCATCCTCAGCCCCAATGCCAGTGTGATGCCAACAGCTCCCTCTCTCTCAACAGGACAGCCGGTACGCCCAGCAGATATCACACCCCTGCTACCCCAAGGGATACCAGGAGAACATCACCGTAGCAGAGCTCTACGACAGTCCCTGCGTCCCCATTCCAAGCACGCTCAGCCCTGCACAGATCCTCACAGTAACAGGGATGGGGAACCCGGCGGCGTGCCGCACCGCCATCCTGAAGCTCTTCAACTTCACCTGTGGGGCCAACAGGACGTGTGGGTTCGACGGGGTCTATCAGCCACCTGTGAGGGGACAGTTCTTTGTAAGGAGCCTTGGCTGTTGGTGCTGGTGTGGGTGTGGGGCTGTGGGACACCAGTTTGGTCAATGCTCCAGAAAACCTGCTGTAGGAAAGAGTGACAATGGATGCCTTGAAAGCTGGGATGCACCTGATGCATGGAGACATGCAGGGTGCTCAGCTGTGTGCCAGACTCCGACTGCCATGTTCTGTATTTCAGCACAGGGTGCAGTCCCCAGTGCTCTCCTGAAATTGGTCAGCAGGCAGCACCCTATGTGGCCTGCCCTGGGGATCCCTGCAGAGCACCCCAAGTGAGGGGCAGAAGGCTGCCAGGAGCTTGGGTGCATGACTAACCTCTGCCTTTGGTCATAAATACCCACAGGCTTTTTCAGCATTTTATTACAACCTTCACTTCCTGAACCTGACTGAAGACCAGTCCCTGAGTTCCGTCAATGACACTCTATGGAAATTCTGCTCCAGAAATTGGATGACGGTGAGATCCTGCCCAGGAGCTTCTGATCCCTGCTGTTATCTTGCTCAGTCTGAGCACCGCCTGGCTTGGGGTCCACAGCGTGTCCTCTGCTGTGTGAAAGGGCCACTGGGGGAGCTGGAGGGAACACAAAGGTCTCTGGGCTGGGTGGGAGAGCAGCCAGCATCCTCCCATGTGCTCCTTGCTCCCCAGGTCTTTGCTTCTGACTGCACTTTCCCTACAGTCTGGGTGCACCGAGCATTGCTCTGTACATGCATCCCCACCTTGCTCTTCCTCATCTACAGTTGCAGAAGGACTTTCCCACCAGGAGCAGGATCCACCTCCGTGACTCCTGTGCAGCCAGCTCCTACGTCCTCACCCTCCTGTTGCAAGGCTACAAATTCAACAACAAGACGTGGCTCAACATCCACTTCCGAAAGCAGGTGAGAAGGCCCCCTTAGCTTCACAGCTGCTTCACAAAGCTTGCACACTTGTGCCTGCCCTGCCCCTGTGCCTCGGGTGCAGGACGATGGGTTGGTACAGTCCACCACCCGTGTCTGGGATTGCCTGGTACTTTGCAGCCCTTTACATCTCTCTTCCTT